GCACAGATCCCGGGGGGATGAGCATCGGCGGAGGAGCAGTGGGTGCACGACGACAGCGGGGTTTCCTCAGCGGTGGACGGAGCAGACTGGAGGAAGGCGGCGGTTAGCTTCACCAAGGATGCACCGGAGGGGAACTCACCATCAGGTCCTTGTGGACGTCGGCGGGGAATCAGCAAGTGCAGGGACCCTTAATTTATATGCGGATGGGCGGCATATCGATGGCAAGCACGAGGCACGACCCCGGAGGGTGCATAAACGCGCGGGCCTGCAGGATCAAGAAACCAGCTAACCGAAGCACGCGCGGAGGGGGCAACAAAAGCAGGGATGGCATATTCACGGCCTATCTAGGATCTATCGTACACGCGCGGAGGAGACTGTCTGGAAACACACACCGAGTACTTACTGGGGCGCAGGGGATGAGGCGTGCATTCCCCGTATCGAGGTAACGAGATTGAAAACCTCTCCTTCCTCTTCGTCCTCTCCGGGCCCGCCGCTACCCCCGTCTTCTTCGTCCTCGTCATCTGGCGGTTCGAACCGGAAGTCGGCTGGGTCGGAAGGAGTCCTCGATGGCGGCCGATCGCGTAGCGAACTCGCATGGACAGCGAGGTGCTGGGCATGCGTCGCGCTAGAAGCCAGGGCAGCTGAGCGGAGGCGGACACTCGGAGGGGCGGTGGGAACGGGTATGGCAAGTGCGCTCGGGGCGGCGGAGGACGGAGTCACGCCTTCTCCGGAGCGAGGGAATGCCTGTAGCAGGTCCAAAGGAGTACCCGCGACAGGAGGGTCGGGACGGAACGAAGCCGAGTACAGCAAGGCGTCGTCCCGGGTCTGGGAAGGGTGAGGACCGACGTACCGAAGCCTTAAGGACCGGACGGCTAGGCGTGAAGTCAGTGGCCAGATCACGGAGGGGCGTGGTGGTGAAACAGGGTGACTCACGGGTGTGGCGGATACTGCACCTCGTCTTCTTCTTCGCACAATATACACACGCGTGGTCGGGGTTGCCGTCGACTCGGCAGAGCCCACGAGGAGACAGTGCGGCGCATCTCTCGCACGGCGTCTGTGGTGCATACACGAACAATCCGTACCGGGAGCGCGAGGCTTCGGAGGCACCGGAGGGGAGTGGTGGCGCAGGATCGGTGTAAACCGTCGACGCTGTGGGAACGGTGGCGGCGGGCACGGTCGGGCGCGGAGGCACGGGGGGGCCTGAGGGCCTCGGAACTACGGAGGGGGCCGCCGGGGCACTCGCGAGCGAGGGGATGGACGATGCAACTGGGCGAGACGTGCCAGGGCGGGGGCGAGGCGGTACGAAGATGCGGTTGCCGTGCGCGTCAGTCGTGGCGGGGGGACCAGAGGACGGGCGGGTCGTGCGGGGTCGACGAGGAGGAGACGGGGGCGGATCATCAGGTCCGGAAGAATACTCGACGGAGGGGGAGCGGCCTCCGACGGATGGGGAGTGAGCCAAGGAGGGGGAAGAAGCGGCGTAGAACTGAGTTAGTTCGTCGTCGGAGAGTCCCCTTGCTGGGCTGCATCTTTGTCAGTTTAAGTGCATCTACTTTCATTCATTAATGAATTAAACCCTGGATCTGATTTACACACTTTTGTACCCCTGTTAATCTAATCCTAATTCAATGCAGTCTTAATCCATTGCTCAGCTCATATGCCTAATCCTGGTGTATTACAGAGGTCTTTTGATGCATTCTTAATGCACTACTGATCCACTTATAATGCACTGACTTAAGACATGCTTGATCTCAGTGTATCACAGGGGTACCTTGATACACTATTGATCCACTAAAGATGCATTGTCCAAGTCAGTGTATTACATGTTTAAGGCATACATGTATGCAGTTCTAAGCTGCTGGATTAGTTTTAGATCAAGGCAAAAAAAGGGGACATTGGGGGTTTGAACCACAGACATCAGAAAGCATTACATAATCACATCATCAAGTCGGACCACAGGAACACTAACCACTACACCACAGGTCTGTTAGAAATGTTGTAACACAATGTTATATGTCACATTACTGGGATGCTGGACTTAGACATATTTTGGATGCTGGCACAGGGTGCCCTGCATTAGTGGTGGATCAATAGGTGTGTTAGCAGTGAATTGACACAGTGTGGTAACAGTGAATTAGCAGTGACTTGACACAGTGTGTTGACAGTGGATTAGCAGTGAATTGACAAAGTGTATTAGTGCTAGCCCAACATGTGAATCAGTGATGAATCAACATAGTGCATTAATGTTAGCCAGACAGGTGACTCAATAGTGACTCAACTGACAATGGATGCTAGATGTCAAATTTGTTAGGTCAAAGGTTAAAGTCACTTTTGAGTCACATGTTGGGCTAGCACTAATACACTTTGTCAATTCACTGCTAATCCACTGTCAACACACTGTGTCAAGTCACTGCTAATTCACTGTTACCACACTGTGTCAATTCACTGCTAACACACCTATTGATCCACCACTAATGCAGGGCACCCTGTGCCAGCATCCAAAATATGTCTAAGTCCAGCATCCCAGTAATGTGACATATAACATTGTGTTACAACATTTCTAACAGACCTGTGGTGTAGTGGTTAGTGTTCCTGTGGTCCGACTTGATGATGTGATTATGTAATGCTTTCTGATGTCTGTGGTTCAAACCCCCAATGTCCCCTTTTTTTGCCTTGATCTAAAACTAATCCAGCAGCTTAGAACTGCATACATGTATGCCTTAAACATGTAATACACTGACTTGGACAATGCATCTTTAGTGGATCAATAGTGTATCAAGGTACCCCTGTGATACACTGAGATCAAGCATGTCTTAAGTCAGTGCATTATAAGTGGATCAGTAGTGCATTAAGAATGCATCAAAAGACCTCTGTAATACACCAGGATTAGGCATATGAGCTGAGCAATGGATTAAGACTGCATTGAATTAGGATTAGATTAACAGGGGTACAAAAGTGTGTAAATCAGATCCAGGGTTTAATTCATTAATGAATGAAAGTAGATGCACTTAAACTGACATCACTGCTTACCGGCAGGCGATGGGGACGTTGATGACGGTATGATGCACCCGTGGCTCGACGACAAGCTGGATCACTGCGGCAGCGCGGCGATGTTCGACGTCGAGCGTTACGTTAATCTGGACCGGTCGGAGTTGCTGGGTATGTTATCCAGCGATCCTGTTGACCCGGAGGAGGAGATCGAGGCGCACCCGGCGGCTGGGACTTCGGCGCCGTCGCGAAAGGGTGGTCCTGCCTCAGAGCCAGCCAAGAAGTCAGACGAACCGGTGGACTGGACGTTCAAACTGACTCTATAAGCTCTCTGTAGTTATGTTTTAAACGTAATAAACCGTTTTTTACACGCTCTGCATATGTTTTAAACACTCTGAGCGCACGAGACGAAAGATCACGTGCCAAAATTTTTCGATCACGTGTGCACGTTTTTGACGTTTGAAACCCCATGTCAGAAACTGACCATAGGGCTGGACTTACTTACCTACCGTTTGAAACGCCGTCTGAGTTTCATACGGAACGCTAGCACGCAACGGCTCTCCCCGTGGATCGGACTTTCTGAGGTCAGGTGTTGATCGCACGTGCACCTGCGGTCGGTGGCTAAATCTCCTGCTCCTGCTCCTGCTCCTCCTCCGCCGCCGCCTCCTGCTCCTCCTCTACTGCAGGTATTCGCACACTTGCCTGCTGCTCAACGTCTCGGACATGTCGTCTTCCGACTCTCAAACTCTCACTGCTCTGGCGGAGCAACACCGCACCCTCGTCGAGGCGGCCGCCGAAGCCCTACCGCACCAATTCTCACAGTGCACCTACGCCCTCGGGCCCATCCGCCAGGCCGTCTACCTCTGCCTAACCTGCGGCGAGCCCCGGGGGATCTGCTCTGCCTGCAGCATCGCGTGCCACACGGACCACGAGCAGCTCGAGCTCTTCCCAAAACGCGCCTTCCGCTGCGACTGCCCGACGCGCGCCCTGGCGCACGCGTGCACGCTGCACTCGACGCCCGAGGAGGAGAACGCGGGGAACAAATACGGCCACAACTTCGAGGGCGTGTTCTGCCGGTGCGGGCGGCCGTATGACGCGAAGAAGGAGCGCGAGACGATGGTGCAGTGCGTCGCGTGTGAGGTGCGCTCGCTCGGATCGCAATGCACGTCTGTTCACTCTCGGACCGTAGGACTGGTTCCACGAGTCGTGTCTGAACCTGCGCGAACGCCCGCCGGAACGAGCGTCCACGCCCGAAGACCATAACGCTGCGAGCACAGAAGACGACGCGTCCGACGCGTCCGACGACTTGCCGCTTGCGCTCATCACGGCAGACGACTACGACAGCTTCGTCTGCGGCGCGTGTGTGCGCGGTATACCTACCCTCCGACAGTACGCGGGCACGCCGGGCGCGCTCATGGTCGTGCGCGACGCGCCGGGGCAGCCGTGGAAGATCATAGGGCGGGAGGAAAGCACAGACGGCACCGCGACCGTAGAAGTGACCGAGGGAACGGAGACAGAGGAGCCCGACGTCGGGGAGAAGCGGGCACGATCGGCGGATGAAGAGGAAGTGCCCAGCGCGAAGCGACCTCGCGTCTCAACGGAACCGTCAGCGTCCCCGCCATGTCTCGCACCTCCAGAGAACCCAGTGGCCCAGAAGACTTTGGATTGCTCGAGCTCGGGAGACCTGGGTGCAGGCGACGTATTCCTCACTGAGGGCTGGCGAGAGCGCTGGTGCAAATGCGAGTCGGTACGTCTTCCACCACGCTGCTGCGCATGGAGCCGTGATCTAAGCCTACATGGAAGTGCCTGCCC